CATCTACATTTCAGGCCACAATGAATTCTGTTTTCACCCAATTTCTAAGAAGATTCGTGGTTATATTCTTTGATGACATTCTTATCTATAGCCCTTCTATCCATGCCCATACAGACCACTTAACCCAGGTTCTACAAACACTACGCACTCACCAGTTTTTTGCTAAGTTAACCAAGTGTTCTTTTGGTGTACAGGAGATTCAATTTCTAGGTCACATTCTGTTTGCGGCTGGGGTTTCTCCAGACCCTACCAAGATTCAAGCGGTGGTGGATTGGGCAATACCTAAAACGGTTACACAACTTAGGGCCTTTTTGGGCTTATCAGGTTATTACCGGCGATTTATCCAGGGCTACGCCACAGTGGCTGCTCCGCTCACAAACTTACTCTCTAAGGATGCATTCGAGTGGACACCAGCCGCTGAACAGGCTTTCAATTCTCTTAAGCTACTGTTGACTAATGCACCAATTTTATCTTTGCCCAATTTTAATCGTCCTTTTGTCTTAGAAACGGACGCGTCAGGGGTTGGAATCGGTGCTGTTTTATTACAAAGCGATCACCCCATTGCTTTTTTTAGCCGGAAACTGTCTAAGAGCATGCAATCAAAGTCAACTTATTTTCGCGAGATGTTTGCTATAACTTCGGCAGTCGCTAAATGGCGACAATACCTTTTAGGTACATCTTTTATCATCAAGACTGATCACAAGAGCTTATACCACTTGATGTATCAAGTGATTCAGACTCCTGAACAACAACAGTTTCTGGCGAAACTGTTGGGATTCAATTTCGTCATACAATATAAACCAGGCAAGTCTAACGTGGTGGCTGACGCTCTCTCACGCCAGCCTGAGGGGGATGTTGATCACTTATCCCCTACTCTAATGGCCATCAGTGGCCCTGTCTCACAATACAGTTCCATTATTCAGTTCGAGTTACAATAGGACCCCTACGCTACACTAATTCTACAATAATTACAACATAATCCTTCTAAATGGCCTCACTGGAGGACACAACACGGTCTGATGTTTCATCGTCATCGTCGGTTCATTCCTGCGGCTTCATCGTTGATTCCGGTCCTTCTCCATGAGTTCCACTCGTCCATCGTTTGTGGCCACGCTGGGGTCCGTCGCACCTTGCTCCGTTTGGGTGCCAAGTTCACCTGGAAAAAGATAAAGACAGATGTTCAGCAATATGTCTTTCACTGTGAAATCTGCCAGAAAACAAAAGCACCCAATCATTCCCCATATGGTCTCCTACAGCCCCTACCCATTCCAGACACCATCTGGTCTGATCTTTCAAAGGATTTCATTACTCACTTACCTTTATCTGGCGAATTTTCAGCTATCCTAGTGGTGGTTGACAGGTTAACCAAAGGTGCTCACTTTGTGGCCCTTCCACCAAAATACTCTGCTTCCAAGATTGCACAGGTGTTTTGGGACAATATTGGCAAGCTCCACGGCCCACCAAGGTCTATAGTTTCTGACCGTGACCCTATTTTTGTCAGTACGTTCTGGAAAACACTCTTCTAACTACAAGGAACCAAACTTCAGTTCTCATCGGCTTATCACCCCCAAACAGATGGGCAAATAGAGCGAATAAACAGGAGTTTAGAGCATTACCTACGCTGCTTCGTCCATGAGACTCCTTCGGCTTGGCCCCGCTTTCTAAGTTGGGCTGAGTTCCATTACAATACGGCCCACAATAGCTCTACTGGTTTTTCCCCTTTTCAAGCTATGTACGGACGTCCTCCTCCGTGCCTCTTGGAGTACTCCTTAGGGACCACACCTTTTGAAGCCGTGGACTCTGACCTTCAACAACGGTCGCACATTATTGCTTCGTTAAAAGAAAACTTGAGGAAGGCACATATTCGCATGAAAGTTCAAGCCGATAAAAAGCGAAAAGATGTTACCTTTAATGTTGGAGACCAGGTCCTTTTACGTTTACAGCCTTACCGTCAGCTGTCCGTCCATCGTCGTTCGCCCCACAAGCTGAGCCTTCGTTTCTTTGGACCCTTTGAGGTTTTGGAACGTCTCGGTCCTGTGGCTTATCGTCTCCGCTTGGCTGATGGCTCACAGACTCATCCTGTGGCCCACATCTCGTTGTTAAGACCCTTTAGAATGTCTGACCGCTACGTGGTGCATCCTTTTCCGGTGGATCTTATAGCAGACCCCCTGCTCCATTAACCTGCCGCCATCGTAGATCGTCGAGTCATCTGGCGAAACGGAACTGCAATACCTCAGGTTCTAATCCAGTGGCAAGGATTACCACCGGATGCCTCCACTTGGGAGGATGAGCACTTGGTTCTTTCGGATTCTGTGAGACAACATGGGGAGCTGGATAAACTAAAGGGCAATAACGTTGGTGTTTCCCAACCAAACTCACCCACTTTAATTACTGCCCCATCGAACGATGCACTGCCCCTGCCAGTCACCGACAACACAGCCAATAAGATTGCAGCTTCTGGGATTCTTATCCCCCCATCCGCCAATCAACGTTTAGTGATATCCAGCTCACTTACACCACCGACACTTACTCCAGGGGTTCTTGGACGCCCTGCTTCTTGTAGTCCCTTGGGCCACTCGGCTTCGCAGCCCACTAAGCTCGAGGACGAGCTTTGTCTTCAACAAGGGAGGAATGTTGCAGACCAGCTACTTGGGCCTAACATCAACATGCCCGTGCGTACTAGGAAGGAGCCCAGTTACTTACAAGACTACTTTCAATAAATAATTAGTTATGAGATATGTTCAGTATTGAGAGGAGAAAATACTGTATTAGTTAGTTACGTGAAATAGATGACTATTGTAAGGGAGATAGTATAAAGCCCATGAGGGGCGTGAATGAAAAACTAAGAAAAGTTGGACAATCTCTCTCTCTAATTTCCCTTTCTCTCTCATCCTCTTCCATCTCTCTTTCTGTTACGTCTTTCTCCTTATCTCATAAGGAAAACCCTTACATCCACTAAGATTTCACTCCGTGCCTTTGCTTTTGCCGTCTACCGCTTCTTCTTGACGATGACAACATATGTGGTTGAAATTGTGGTCATTCTTTGTTTTTTTAATTTTTTTTTATTGGGTTTCTTTTGCCACAGTGGGCCATATTCTAACTTATGCATATTATTATTCTCTAGCATTGTGATGAATCTAATGATCACTACCTACTTCTCAATTAATTATTTTTTAATCAATATTTTAGAATCCACTATAAAAATATAAATATGAATTTTTTATGCGTCAATACAATTTTAATTAATTAAACATTTCTCATATTTTAAATATAATAAGTACATGCCAAGGAAGTAGCCATATATAATTTTATTCCGTCAATAATAATTTTAAAAAAAAAATTGTTAAGAGAATTTTTAAAAAATAATTAAATTCAAGAGTAAATAAAAAAATAAGTGAAATAAAATATTTGAACCTGGGCTGACTCAGCCAAAACATGGAAGCCCAATTTGAATTCTCTCACTCTGCTTCTATGGGTTATTTTGGTAATTTCGCTTCAGATTTCCATCAATATTTTACCATCAATGAATAATAACATCAGTAAAATTAATTCAACTTGGCCAACCAAACACCTTTTTGTAACTTATCCGGGATAAAAAAATTTCTACCAAATTCCTAACAATCATTTTTTTTCAGTAAAAAAAAATTTCTCACGTACCAAACGCCTCCGAACGGATTAGTAAGAAGGAAAGAACATCATAAGATCCGATTGGGCGAAGATGGCCAAACGAGTCCATTAAAGAAGGGAAACTAGTTTAATTCAAAACCAAAAAATGGGAAATTATTGCAAGTAACTATGATCAAAAGTATACCCAGGACTAAATAACCAAGGTTAGATTGCATGAAAAACTATTGGCTTCAAAATGAAAATGATAAAAAATCTAACTTAAATAATCTATTGGTAGATGGTAGAGAGGTAGTAATTGTAAGAAGAAATCTAAGTGGGACTTGCATGAAATCCCTTTGGTTGAGAGCTAGCACTTAGGAGAGTTCTCATTTGGAGGGAACGATATTATGTGGGTTAAGCTAAAAATGCCAAGTGAAGAATGATAAAAAACCTAGGAATAGGTATGGGTGTAAATAGGCTAGATTTTTGCTTAAATAGCCTAGACCTATATAAAATATTTTAGACTTAATCTGACATGTTAGTTTTATATAGACCCATATTATAAGTCTGGTCTGACTTATATTTAAAAAACAAAAATCTTAGTTTAAGTCTGTTAGTCTGTTTAAATCTATTAAACATTTAATAATTAAAAGAATAATTAAAATAATATTACTTTATTATTCAAAATTATTAAAATAATAATTTTATTTAAAATAAATAATATGATATAAGATAATTTGTAAGCTTATAGGCCTGACATGTAAAAAAAAAAAATTTGTGACTTGTTTTCTAAATAAGTTTTTTTAAAAGTCTAGACCTGTTCTATTTTACTATATTTAATAGGCTAAACTTGGCCTGATATAGACGAGGCCGTATGTCCCTGTAAGCCGGCCTATCTCATTTACATTATTAAGAACAACAATCAGAATTTTATTTCTATTAAGTAACTAAGGCTAACGTAACTCAACATAAGTAACCATGGTTAAGCCCACTATACATACATCCCACTGCTGCAACTCTCCATTCGAAAAAATTTAAGAACTTAAAATGTGCTCAATGCTTTCTTCTTCACTTAATTACAAAAATTATGAGGATATATATATAAAATTATTCTTGCCAAATTTAGATACAGAATATTTTGCATACTATTAACGCGCGTCCACTGCATTTACCGATCTCAGTGAGCTGAAATGAGAGTTCACTTTATTTGTCGTTTAGTTTAGTGTATTGGAAAGTGCATCGAAAGCAGAATAGAGTCTGAGTGAAGCCAATTAAAGATGTGTGTACATAATAAGTGATAAATCAAAAATCATAATCAGAACAAAGTTGCATTTCATACCAATTGATTTTGTTATTATGTCAGCATTATTACATTGTCATAACTTGATCGGCATATAAATTGAAGGTAGCAAAAGGTTATTTGCTGTTATGTTGAAGTAACCATAGGGGTTTCAAGTTAAGGCACCATAAGGGTGAGTCAAGAACTTTGCTAAACTAGTGAATTGAGAGAAAGGGGTTAGGAATTGCCATAAGTTATGAAATATGTTTCTTCTTTGCCAACCTGGGAACTAGTGGTCATAACCCAGTGACAAGTTTACAAAAATATCTAATTTGGCTTCAAAACTTTACCAGTGAACCAATCCTCAAGGTACCAAGATATCCCTGTACACTAAGTTTCTGCATGATAAGTGGCTGTTTGGATTGAAATAAGGCAAACCCGGTTGAAAAATAAGCAGGCTTCCCAATCATCATCACAGAAGGTTCCATCTATTAGTTACACAAGAAGGTCTATTCATGGAAAAAAAAAAGTCGGGTGTTCCCATAGGGTGCAATATCTATGCTTTGGTGCTGTTCATTGAAAATCAGGTTGAGTAGTCAATTACAGAATCACCTAGAACAAAATATGGGTATGTTAGAACAGTTGAACAAAACATATTGATGAGTAGTAATCAAAGATAGGTCCATTACTGATTGAGGAGTCAATTGACCGTGATGGTAACAACTTCCCGTTTTCTGTGTCATGTCCAACAAAAGTAGTGGAAGAATATTTATTAGCTATAAGCCTTAAAAGAATAATATTTAAAGATGTCATTGAACGATTATGCTACTTTCTATCCATAACAACGGCTGTTTTTATCAACATAAGATATTCTGTATCTGAATTTCAGAACTTAAAGCTGACTTTGTTACATTACATATGCATGTACTAGTTTGTTATTTAAGTCTCTGGAGAAGACTACTATACTTGTGATGCATATATAAATGTCATTTTGGGCAGATAACATTAATCAGCTGATCTCATGTACAAAAAGAAAAATAAAAATGTTGACAAAAAAGATAGAAATACAACACTATTAATTGATAACATGTGATGTAAGTTAGATGATTAGCACGTGATAAACGCGATGGAACAGTGCAATATTAAACTTAGGAGAAAAAAAAATACACACCAGTAGAAAGATTCATCCCCTTGACAGCAGCAAAATTCTTATATGTATAGCCAACGAAACTGAGATCTTGAGGAGTTAAGAGCGTCTGTGGACAGAAAGGTTACAATAAAACTGTAAAGGAGTTTTACAATACTACAACATCGATCAACATATATTTAACCTAGAACAAATTCATGTCAGGGTAAACAACTAGAATTGATGAGGTCAACTGGGAGAAAAAGAGCTTACGAATTAATGGAAAGCAACATAAAGCAAATTAATTAGTTATTTATTCCCAGCTTTTTTCTAAAGCACCATCAACCTTCAAAAATATGCCACACCTTTAGAGAAAGAAAAATATTGAGATGCACTGTAACCTTGAGAATCTGAACATTACGATGATTGTATTAAAACTAAATGTTGTGTTAGTTCCATGGAGGAATACTCATTCATCCAGTTATTTTTACATCCCATTTGGCTGAGGACTCGAGTATCAACAGATTTAAAGATGGAGGACCCAAGGATTATTGTGATGGTATATATATTCTAAAGGAGATGAAATTTTCCACCACAAAATGAATGATATATAAAAGCAAACACCTAAGGCAAGTTAATTGATTATTGCCTGACAAATTATTCCTTCAAGTGAATAGAGTGTCTACCTTTCTGATTGGTCCGGATCCAGTTCTAGCTGGTTTTGGTTGATCAACCTATTAACACAATATATTAACGCAAAATATATGAAAATTCATGCACGTATGAATATTAAAGCATAAGCAAGATAGAAAATTCACAAACAATTACTTCATCCATACTGCTTCTGAAAAAATTTATTCTATTAAAGAATGATATACTAAAGGACACTGAATTTAAATGAGTAATGTTACATACTAACAAATATCCATGTACAAATATTAAACATGCAAGTACGCTATCATACAAGCTCATCCTTGTAAAAAGCTGGGGCATGGTGCTATCTTCATTTTCGTTAACTGCAATTGCCCGAAACTATTAGTCCTGTTGCACTTTCTCCATTGATAATTTGATTTCAGCATATTACACCTTAACCCATTAGTGTTGTTTACAATGTCCCCACTTTTAGTACCACCACAATTTAAATTAGGGGTCATCTCTAAACTTAGAGCTCAAAGCATGACACTCACGTGCCTAATAATTTCAATGCAGCCATATTGTGCAACTATGATAACAAATAGGGGCAATGTGTGCAATTTTTATCGGATTGATTGCATGTAAATGAGTGAGAATTAGGCACAATATTTAAGGAATAGAGATATTAGCACATTTGACCAAGTTTTCTCACAGTAATTTGTCAGTTATAGCAATCCAATTTGTCTAAATGTGCCTAGTTTTGGATCATTCACTCATTCAGGGACACATCGAAAGCAATGTAAATAGATTAGGGTAAATGAGCACAAGTTGAAAGATCAACGGAGAAGTGCAATTGTACTGGTATATCAGGGGGAACTGCTAATCTTTCATTACTTGACTAGTTCACTGAGATATGAAGAAAGGAAAAGGTAAAAACTATATAACTCCAGGGAAAAAAAGATAAAACCTTATGGTCTTATGTCTCCGACAGGTAGACAAATTCCCGGAAGACCAGAGATGAAGATAAGCCCAAGGTTTTAGCAAAATCCAAGTAAGTTTCTAAATTAGGAATGCATATCTGCATATTTATACAAAAGCTTCCTAAACCCATCATGCAATTACATTATTTACAAGATAGTACACACTGAATGCATCATAAAATAATGTAGGGGGGCATCTGCAGAAGTACCATGGGTGTAGGCAAAAGGGGTAAGATCAACATAAATCATAAAATCTTACCTCATCAAATTTCATAAAATTCTGAGTGTCAAGCTCCCCATTGACTTGTGGTTTAAATGCTGCCTCCATTTCATAGAGCTTATCCCATACGACATCTTTGAACCAAGGATGAGCCTGGTCAATTAAGAAACAGCCATACAATCAGGGAATAATGTGTTTAATATCAATGCATTATATGAAAAGTGAGAAAGAGAGAAAGAAAACCACATTTTACACACTTTAATTTCATCTGCTCCTCCAGTACCGAGCCTATGTTGAGCACCACAAAGCAAACCACATATAAGATCCTTTGCTTCAGGCGTCAATCTTGCCTCATCCGGAAATTTTAAGTGATTTTTCCAATGCACAATCTGAAGACACTCACCAAGGCAAAAAAAAGTAAAACATAATTTGAACCGTTACTGCTAGAGCTGCCAAAAAAAATAAGGCACTTGACAAATGCTAATAAATACTTTGACAAATTATAATGAGAACATGGTGACTTAACAAATAACTATAAGAGAAAACAGGAAACACAAATTTAACCAACAATATTGTAAGTCAACACACAACAGACATCAAAATGAACAACAGTAAGACTTAAGAATTAATCACATGATGTCAAAAAATAAAGAATCACAAAAAGTACCCGGGAGTAGAGTCCATGCTGTGAATTCTTAAGAGTTCATTGAAATATTCAATAATTAAATCACATAAGACAAGGGAAATAGAATAGAAACATGCTCTTCATACTTGTGCAGTTTTCTCAGAGTTTAATTCATTTTAAGATCATACATATGTGATTGATCGAAGTCCATGAATGTAGAACTTCTCCAAAAACATTTAAGAGACAATTAGTCCAGTGGCATACTAGATTATCTGGATATAACATTTAAAGTGACAAACTAGATGTCTGAAAGGTTAAAAGCATTTATGAAGGTGAGGATAACAGAATCCCCAAACAAAGCAACTATAATGAAAACAGTCTCTATCAAAGAATCAGTTATTTAGTATACTAAAATTTCCTTTTTTTGCCAGAAATATAGCCAGTTTTTTCATCTCCAATTTTATATTGATCTTAGGAATCATGACTTATAAAGGACATTGGACTCAAATAATTGATGGTCAAATTGAATCCTAAAAAACTGCTATTGGACCCTTAAGAAAATTTAAAGTACAAGGAAGGAGATTATCCTCTATAATCAAAATTTTATTGCTTGGTCAAGCATCATGGCAATAACGGTGTGCATGAAGAACTTCGCAGAATCATTTTTTTTACAATTTTTGTTCCCGGGAACAGAAAATGATAGAAACAGTGTTTGACAAAACCGGTTTATTTTTTTTGTTCCCGAGAATGAACCGGTTCAATTTTTATGCTAGGGAACAGAAAAAAGAATAAAAAAAATTCGGCTTTTTTGTTCCCGAGCACAAAATGAAAAACACTTGTTTCTCTCAATAACTCTCTACTACTACCATCCTAGCACGACCACCACCACCATTACCATAGCCACTGCCGTCACCACCACTACCATGCCACTACCACCACTGCCATGCCACCACCACCGTTGCCGTAGCCACTGCCGTCACCACTACCACCGCTACTGCCACCACCACCATCGCCACCATTATCACCACCACCACCATCGCCACCATGCCACCACCATTGCCGCAGCCACTACCGTTACCACCACCACCACCACCACCATGTCATCACCACTACCACCGCCGCCACCATCTCTACCACCATTACCATTGTCACCATTACCACCACCACGCCACTGCCACCACCATTACCGCCGCCACCATCGTCACCATTACCGCCACCATCTTCGCAGCCACTACCGTCACCACCACCACCATTCCATCACTACCACCATACCACCACCATTGCCACCATTACCACCACCACGACGATGCCACAACCACCGCCACCACATCATATGAAAAAGAAAATGATGATCTGAATTTCTTTTATGCTTAATAAGAATTATTTTTTATTTTATTATTTGTTGTGTTATCAAACACAATTCTCATTCTCGGAATAAAAATAGAACATGTTATAAAACATATTTTTTTTCTCAAAAACAGTTCCAAGGCACAGAAATAGAAAATAATTGTTTCTTTTATAAAACAGTGCCAGAGAACAGAATGGTTGTCATGCACACCCTAAGTGTCTATAAAACATATTCGCAGGTCGCAAAGGAGGTGTTGTCGAAGAAGGGGATTGTAAAGAACCAATTCAACCCAAAAGCTTAAGCTAGTGGGTGAGGGCTTTTTAATGGTTTTATATATCTCAACACGCCCCCTCACACGAGAGCCCACTGGGCTTGAAGGGTGGATAATGCACAGGCCCACCTATCCGTGCGAACAAAGAAATTCCACTTGAAAGAAAGTGGGGGCGGTGAGGATCGAACCCGGGACACGAGGCTCTGATACCATGTAAAGAACCAATTCAACCCAAAAACTTAAGCTGGTGGGTGAGGGCTTTTTAATGGTTTTATATATCTCAACAGGGATAAAAGAGAAAAACCTTTCTGCAAGTTGTTACGGGCTCATCAGAGTAAAATGGGGGGTAACCAACAAGCATCTCATACATTATAGCACCAAGAGACCACCTGCAGGAAGTCAGTACCCATCTCAGCAACGGGGGAGATATTTCACATTACTCTTAGTCTTCAAACAAATATGTAATTACATGGGACAGACAGAAATAGCATTTTTTTTCAGGTAAAAGCAACTATGAAGAAGAATAATCTATACCAGAAACCAGCACAGTTTTAAGAACGATGATATAGACTACATAATACTTATTGTCTTCTCTGAGGCAGCACGAAATTCAGACAAAATCATCCTATGCCTATTATAATAGTTATGAAAATGAAAAGAGGGGAACATTTTCATCCATATTATTTTTTAACATTATTTATTTTTTATTTGGAAAAACAGTTCTAATTATCTTCGCATTTATTTAATTTTGGTTCAGTTCTCCTAATTTATGCATAGCATGATATCTGTTCGTAAAAATCAATGGCTGCTAAAATTTGAAGCTAAAAAAGTTAGCAGGCACCTAATATAAATATAGTGTAAGTAGACTTGTAATTGATCAATAAATTTGGAAACAGACATGTACGAAAACCGAGCAATCAAAGTCCTGTATTTTTTCATTCAGCATCCAGTTCATGAAGTAGAAAATCTTTATCCTCAGCTAACTGCCATCTTTTTAATTATCTAAATTTTTCTTCCTTCTTTCCATTAAACACAATTTAGTTCCTACGGAGAATCACCTAAACTGGAATAACATTTATATTAGAGATAACAAGTCAGCCAACTTTGCATTAAAATGATTATCCTTTTTACATCTGCTGTGAGATCCAACTACAGAACTTGATACTGAATATTATAAGACTAGGAAGATCTGTCATCTGAGAGCAGCATGCCTATATAAGATTTGGATGGTCAACTGCGAAAAGTGTTACCATTAGTGGATTTATATGAAATGTAAAGTTTCAATTGAATGTGTAAAGAACCAATTCAACTCAAAAGCTTAAGCTGTTGGGTGAGGCTACATTAATGGTTTTATATATCTCTAACATGCCCCCTTACAAGAGAGCCCATTGGACTTGAAAGGTGGATGATGCATCAGACTCAGCCTACCTGTGCTAAAAAATTCTACAAAGAAAATAGGGGGGCGGTGCCGGTGAGGATCGAACTCAGGACACCGAGGTTCTGATACCATGTAAAAAACCAATTCAATCCAAAAACTTAAGCTGTTGGTTGAGGCTACATTAAAGGTTTTATATATCTCTAACAGAATGAATATAAATGGTTCATTGGATTAAATATGAAGTTACAAATGGATGAGTCTAAAAGGTTCTTATCCAGTGCTCAAAATCCCTCTAAACAGATAGTTCGCAGTCCAAGTTTATAATGCTTCACCACTTTCTTTAAGAAAGATGACAAGATGATTCCTTTTTATGATCCTTATAGATTGGAGTATGCACATAATATCAGAAGGTCATGACAAATTCTTAAAACTGGACAGAAAAGTTCTTTTCTGAAGTATTTTAACTGTAAATTAAATTAGAAAAAAAAAAACTAGCAACTATAATAATTTTTGCTATCAAATTTTGGCCCACACATGTTGTAAGGGGCTTCACCGATTGAACTCTGGCTTAACTTTCTTCTTCGTTTACCTAAGCTACATAGCATAAAGGCGTAGCATTTGACCTATTCCATAATAAGGCATTCTAGGGGCTGCAATGTTTGGATAGAAAACACGTGCAGCATCGGCTGTTGCATCACATACAGACTCTATGTGCAATAACATAGAACCTTGAGCTTTTCTACTACCGTTAACCACTGAAGCCAAATAAAAAATGTATTGCAAAGTTATCATCTGCAATTACTTCAAAATAACAAATCTACTAAAACAGAAAATGTATAGATGCAACTCCTGCAATAGCAAATAAAAAGAGAACATCAACGAACCAGTCACACTCCACACCGTAACCCTTTTTCAGTAACACTTCCGGAGCAATATAATCTGGAGTTCCAACAGTGGAAAATGCCTGCCATGAAATGAATAGATAAGTTGGAGAAGGATATGCATGCAAGCATATTAAAAACAATATATGATCAAATTGATAAAATGCAATCAAAATCGACATTTCATGCACTAATGAAATTATCCCAGTTATCACACAAGTCAACCATATTGATTGATTAAGAAAAGAAACAAAAGTCTTCTATGTAGTAAAGAACTAAGAATTTTATCATCAAGCACAATATCTGAGTGCAAAATAAACAATTATAAATCTTTCATTCTTTACTTTGATCCCTTATTCCACATGGATGACATATTGAATAAGTTGTCCAAGAATGGTGCAACCATGGGACTATTATGCTCATTCAACAGATGACAAATGTAAGTACCTCTAAGCTAAATACACTGTCTTTTTGTGTAATTCATCAATTACATATTACCAGTACAAATTTGTAAGAAATCAGAAATAAGAACCAGTCATCAAGCATCAAATACAATTTCTGAATGTGGACAGAATGCAATTACCAACTTCCTCCGGTTCATTTGCCAATGTTGAAGTTGTTCAAGGGGACTTTTCCAGCGCCTACCGTTTCTGCTATTTCGGAAAGCTCCATCTACATCCATGGTATCATTCATGTTCTCATCATCAAGGATTTCATTTTCATTTATAGACGATAAATTTGAGCAGTCAAGTGGCTTGCAAAGACCAAAATCAGAGAGCTTCATATGACCATTTTTGTCCAATAGAAGGTTGTCAGGTTTTATATCTCTGGGGATACAAGAAGAAACTTATAATTGTAAATTATGGTTTATAAGAATAAGACCATTATGAAGTTTAAGATGTAACAATACCAACCGATGGATGTAGTTGTGTTTATGAATAGACTCTATAGCCAAAACACTCTGGGCAATGTAAAATCTAGCCACAGTTTCAGTCAAAGTTTCTTCCCTCATCAACAATGTCATTATATCACCACCAGGTAAATATTCCATTATCAGATATAAATGTTCAGCATCCTGAAACGAGTAATAGAGTTTCACAATGCAGTCACTGGCAACTTCTGCAAGTAGGTTCCTTTCAGCTCTAACATGCTCAACCTGTGATGAAAATGAACCCAATGAATTAAAAAAAATATTCAAATCAGATGATACTTTAAAAATAATAGCAGAAAGAACTTTCCTTTTTTCTGATAATAAATTGAAGAATGGAAAGAACAAACTTTCATAGTATAATGAAAATATGAAAACTCACCTGTCCCCTGCTAAGCATTTCAGACTTTTTCAACTTTTTCATGGCATATATATTACCTGATTTCTTCTCCCGACAAAGTCTTACCTGTGAAATCATATGGCATAAGCATTCAAACAACTTCACGGTAGTTCGGATACCCAAACAAAATAAAATGACAATACAAAATCATCCCATCTCTTATGTATTGTATAACCAAAGAACAACTCTTCATCAATTAAGAACAGATATGAATATGGTAACGGGATGACACAAAATTAAGAAGAACTTCAGTAAAAGACATTTGTTAAAGCATGATCAAAAGTCAAATCAAATCAAGATTTAGTCACAAAGCTAGTTAGTGAAGTTCCATTTCTAGCATCCATGATTAGCTGTCATATTTAGACAATCCTAAATGTATTGGGGTAGAAGAGAAAAGTATAAAAAGATCATAAGTTTTCATTGGAATGCATAGTTTTTATTTGTCCATTCTTCTTATATCACTATGATTTCATTTCCAACAAAGATTTACTCCTAATCATTTCTGTTACATAGATATATATTACAGATGAATAATTGAGAGTTTTAGTTTCATTACTGATGTAGAGATAAGTATAGGAGTAATTTCCTTATTTCATTATTTTCTATGTTATGTACATAAATTACTCTACTGTTGTACTTTACCTTATTTCACTTACTCATTCACACACATTAAGGTTTATGCATGATCTCTTCTCTCTCAACATGATATCATGAGCCTAGATAGAGAAACTCTATAATTATTTTCTTTAGAGCCACACTTTTTTCTCTCTCTCCCCCGTCATATATTCTTTTATGAAGTGTTCCACAGCTGAATTGGCTGTCAAGTAAGCTCTCTCTCAATGAAAAAAAAAAAACATAGCTCACTGATTGTGCCAAGTCAAGCAGGTAGAGTTGGCTTAGAGTCGTGCATTTGACATTTTTGGATTTTTAGGCCTTTTTTTATTTAGTGGTATTTTTGTAATTTTGTATTTTCTATTTTAATTGCACTTAAAGTTAATTGACACCGTATAAAAGGGTGTTTAAGACACCTAAGGATGGTTAAATATTTTATTATTTTGATAATCGAAATTGAGAATGGAGGATTTCTCTTTTCAATCCTAATTTTCTGTTTAGGTTACTTTCTAATTTTTTTGTATCATATGAAACCAAACACACAAAGTAGGCTGAACAGGAAAATTAGGATTGAAAAAAGAAACCCTCTATTCTCAATTTTAATTATCAATATAATAGAGTATTCAACAACCCCCATCATTCTTAAACACCCTTATATGCGATGTCAATTAACTCTAAAAAATAACTAAAAAAAAAAAACTAATTTACAAAAATGCCACTGAAATGGAAAAAAGCCCAGAAACCCAAAAATAACACACGCGTGATTCTATGCCTAACTCTAGGTGCATCACTGGACCCTTTTCCATACATGACACATTCCAATAGCAATTGAATTTCGGCCTCAACACCTATGCATTGTAAAGATGATGTCCCTACTGTTTTACAATTACCAACAGAACTTTTACACCTCTTTCCATGAAGAGCACCTTTCATGGTCCACATTCAGCTTGAGCATCATTGTGCCCAAACACCTAATGTGTGTATCACAATGAAGATGATAGCCACCACATGATGGGGCAACTCATCTTCACTTATTCCCTAAGGCATCATACATTGCTATGTATGAATAGAACATACTTAAAATGGTTCACAAGGATTTTTTTTTACATGTAGCCAGTCCACTATACTAAATCTTATTCCATATCAGAAAAGTTTTATTCCTAGGAACATTGATTCTTCAGAAAAGAACAAAGGAAAAATGTACAAATGGTTAGCTCTTTTAATCGGGTATTATCCACTCTCCAGATTACCAAATGACTTTCAACATCATGTTTATAAACACAAAATAATAATAATAATAATAATAATAATAATAATAATAATAATAAAAGGCACTAATCATCAAATATGATTATGCATATTTCTACCTCCCCAAAGGCTCCCCTGCCAATAATGGCTAGAAGGTCAAAATCATCAACGCATATTTTATGTCTTTTTAATCGTATATACTCGGTCTCCTTGCGCTCTAAATCCTTCAGTAGATTGATCTGTTCCTCTTCTGGTACGTGAGAAGACTCTAACTTCTTTTGTAGCACTGAACGCCTGAGAATAATAAAATCATGTTCAGTAGCTTTCCAAGATATTTAAAATAAAAACGCAAAGAAAGAAAACTAAATAAATATAGGTTCCATCATTGAATGCATTACTATTCTAAGAACATGAAATAACTTCTATGAAAAATAAAGCATCAAATTCAAGTACACGACAATAATTAAAATCATTTTTGTGCATGCATGCATGTACTTGAGTCAGTGTGTCTGTTTATGAACTAGTACTGCTATAAGGCCGTAAAAATTGCAAGTTTTTTGTGTGTTTGCATGAGTCTATCTGAACAATAACTAAAATCATAATTAAGCATGCGGACATAAGCGCACTAATGATGCACAGGAATTATGAGGCTATGATACCCTGAAACTCCAATTTCATTGATGCTCTCTCAATAGATGCATGAACATTTTATGGCCTCACATAGCATGGGAAGGGGGGGACAGCTTAAATGTTCTTTCAAAATCCAAGTTAAAGTGCATAGGAAGAGATTTTTTATTTTTTTTAATAATAATAATAAAATAAACAAATTAGAAAAGTTACATTCTCATTGACATATAGCTAAAGTAAATGAATTACAAGATTCCTTGTAAGCCAAATTTTATCAACAAAACCATTTATAATTAATCAACATCATCATTAAGAATGCGGCGATCACATAGTAAAGATGTAGCCATTTGACAAACAGTCAAAGCTTCCATAATAAACATATTAGGATTACCAAATTCACATTAAAAAAAGGCAATGAAAACACATTTAATAAAAGGGAAAAAAAGAAGAAGAAAAACTCCAACAAGACATTTCCACCTTAAATCAAATGCCATAAGAAAAAGAATGAAGAAGCTCCCGACAACATGCAAAGAGAAACATCAATAGAAATGATCTTATTATGTACCAAAAAAAAAAAAAAAAAAGAAATGATCTTATCAGCCAAAAGGAAGAAACCAAAAAAAAAAAAGTTTGATAATAAGAAGAATAAATAGTGCATGACATTTTACCTCTCTTTGCGATCTTGGATGAGTTTCATTTGAGCCCTGTAATGGTTCTCAATGAATTTTTTGGCTACAGCAACCCTCTCCATTGTCAAGCTCGAACCAACTTCTCCTTGATCCTCCTCTTCTTCTTCTTCGTCCTCCTTCTCCTTCCCACCCATGGGCCCCACCTCATCTTTCTCCTCCCCAACTTGCACCTCCTCCTCCTCCTCCTTTTGATTATTCTCCATGCCCAAACCAAAACCCCCTCTTCCTAAGATTCACTCTTCTTTTCTTTTGTTTTTTCTTGGCCCTTCCCTCTCTTTTCTCTGTGGTTTGTGAATTGGGATGATTGTGACAACGAAGCTAACTAACAGAAAGAGACCCTCTAATAAAAAAACACGCGAAAGGGTGCTACGTGTCTCTCTCGTTCTCTCTCTTTGTGTGTCCGACAAGTGTTGAACAATAGTTGGGACTATGTTGGGTCCCTCTAGTTTGGAACTAGGAGCTTGTCGAGGTGAAACCGTGATCCTACGGTCTATGATGGTGATCACTGCCGAGGTTTATAACATGAGATTGAATTTATTTGTTCCGGATGGCCCAACAGCAGTGGCCCAAAGGTGCAAGTTCCATCATAACTTTTTATCCACGTCAGTCTTACCAACTGACAACCCTCTCCAACTCCCAATGAAACGACACTCTTTAGGGTAGACACCAAAATGTCCCATCTCGGGATCCCAACCCCCAAATGCAGTCGCCCCAGATGTCATAAGAGGGAACAGCCTCTTTGACATACGCTGACACCGCCAGGCGCATCGCTGCTATCATAGCAGCACCTGTCACGCCCAACAGCATCTGCTATTATGAGCAGATCCCAAAAAGGGTTGACCCCTTCCTCACCAACCCATAGGAGGCTCATACGACCTCCTTATAAATAGTCCTCTTTGGCACACCAAAGAGGCATCTTATGTATCGTTATTATGCTCATTTATATTAAGTCACATATACTCACACTGAATCATTCATTGTTATCTTCTTACCATCATACTTGGTACAGTGCTCTCTAGCTTGGTCTTTACCTCTGCTAGTGAGATCATCCATACAATGACATCATCCCCAAAGAGAACATAGTGGACTTATAGATCCCAACGATAGAGTAATCTTTGGGAATATCCATACCATATACTTTCAATCTCTCTATTATTAATTTTTTTAGAGTATTCCTCTGTAATATTTCTTATGGACTAAATTAAAGTTATGTAAAGAATCCAATACATGCTATTACTTTTATGCTCAACACATATTTTCATTTTTATTTACATAGTTTTTATGTGCCAAAAATTGATAATGGATTTTTCCAATACTGAAAAAATTCTTACATATTTAGGGAGCAAGGATATGCATGATTCGACCCGAGTCGTTTTTTTTTTTCCTGAATCAAATCGAACTGTTTTATTTCATTCAAACTGATTTTTATTTTTTCAGAATTGGCTCATGTTTCATATGAGTTCATGATTTATAAATAATTCTTAGCCGTTCTGAAATGGTTTTGAACCCCGAATCAGTGTCGAATTAATTTTTTAAACCGGTTTTTTTGGTTTGGTTAAAGAGTCTGAAATGGTTCTGAAATTATTTTGCATTCTGTTGAGGGAGTGGTGTATTTATATCGTAGTTATATTGTGTCATATGCTACGGTTGTAATGAAGTGGCGTGGTACATGAGAATTGAAGTCAATACTAACCCTTTGCCAAGTACAATATTCAGTACTTTTAATGTTTTGTCAGCTTCCAATTCCCCAATATGGAGTTGAGGAAGATGAGCCATTTAAAACTTCATTATGGGTGATAAATCTGACCTCCAACTACTTTAAAGAGTCTTAGCTTCTGGTGTGAAAGGGAGAAAGTGGAGGCAGGGGATGAAGCCGAATCTGCAAACACATAGATTCCTTTTCTCACTCTTTTGTAACGATCAAATATTCAGTGAGCCACCAGAGAAATGGAGTTTGAGGCATTCTCTACTCCCACAAAGGAAGACGAAGGGCATCCATCATCTACAAGAAGCTAATGAATTCTTGTCCAGGCAAAAAAAAAAAAAAAATCAATTTTATTAGAATTTCATTGGAGTGTGTGTATGCACCTGTTGTAAGAGACAGGATTGCACCTGTTCCCAACAACACTGACTAGACAAAAGTCAAAAGTCAAAAGTCAAAAGCACAAACTGAATCTTTCTGGGGTCAGACATTGTGGGACACATCAGAACATGTGTTATGGCACCAGACATGGAGAAAAGAAAAGCGGTCGCATCAAGCACACATTAGTAATTGCTGTCAAGTCGACAATTACAGCATAAGGAAGAAGAACCAGCACATAATTTAAGATCCAACAAAATTCAAGTATCCATTAATTTCATTTAATTCTCCAAAAAATCTCTATACAACTTACACACACACACACACACACACCCATTTAATTTAACTATATATGAAGGTCTTATTTCTAATGTGACTACATTACAACAAAACATAGCCAAAAGAATTGACAGAATTAGAGTAAACAAAGATTAAAAAAACTACACAAAACTAGTGCCAGCACGACCATGGTGTAACAAATAGTGAGCTATATGATCTCTAGCCACCATGGAATTCTCAGAACGCACATTGTTCTCAGCTACCATCTCATCATCAAAAAGATCAAAACTCCATTGAGGATCCATAACCTCATTCCTCATCTCACAAATATTATGCAGAACACAACAAGCACCAAGAACAACAGGCAAGTCCTGAAGCTTAACCTCTGTTCTCTTCTGCAAACAACCCCACCTGCCTTTCAATCTAGAAAAGGCTTCCTTTGCAACCCTCTGAATGTCCCCAACTTTCTCATTGAAAGCATGTTGAGTCCAAGTAAGGTTCTGGTGTGTGTAAGGAACCAAAACCCAATCCATAAGAGGGTGCCCAGAATTCCCAACAATCCAAACATCCTTCAAACTACCACCATAACCTCTCTGATACAAAGCACTCTTCTCCAAAACTTGATCATCAGGTAATGAACCAGGCCAACCAATACACACATCGGAGAAAACCCCTTTGGGATCAACCACCCCTTGAACTGTTATAGAGTAACAAGTCTTCTGGTTCCTCTCAGTGTGTCGTTTGTTGAAATAAGCAGAAACACTTATCTTTGGTGCAATGATTGGAACATGTGTCGTGTACATTGAACCACCAACATTTGGTATTCCCGAAATGCCCTCGAACTCTTCTTTTATACCCTTCATCTCCTCCTCGTTAGGCCAATGAAGAAACTTCGGCATCAGAACTGTTTTTATGGCGGCACAAACCTCTAGAACGAGCTTGTGACACGTGGAGATTCCTAAACCGAACCGCTTCGACACGAGCCGGAGCGGGTCACCGGTGGCGAGCCGCCATATGCAAACCGCGACACGCTGGCGAACCGGGATGGCATCGCGTAGCATCGTGTTCTTCTTCGTCACCACCGAATCGAGCTCGTCGCAGATCATGTCGAATGTTCCCTTGCTCATTCGGAACCACCGCCGGAACTCCTCCTCCGGGAAGTCGTTCCGGCTGCACCGCTCCCACCAGTCCTTGGACCGGTCCTTAACCCAAAGCCTTCGGTGTTGCTGAACAGACGAACCCGGTTGAATTGAACCGGTCTCATTTAAACCCGAACCCGCAGCAGCAGCAGCATTAAGAGCAGAACGACGAACCCTCTTGGCTTTATTATGACCGAGCTGGTCCAATTCATTATAATGGGTTTGGAATTGAGCCATGTAGTGGTTCATGGTTCGAGCCTGGTGGTCATAATTGGCATCGAACATGGTTCGTTGTTGTTCTGACTCAACAACACTGTTTTGTTGCTCTTGTTTCTCTTCGTCCTCTAACAGAATCAGAGAAGCAAGTATATCCTTCAAGTTGTTACTATCTTTTCGCTTCTTGTTATTGTTGTTGTTGTTGTTGAAATCCATGTCTGGTAACGTGTTATAGAAATGAGAGTAATCTTCTTGGCTGAAAAATGTGACGGGAGTAATTTCCATGTGTGAACGCTTAAGATTTCGCGTGTGAGAGAAGAGAGAGGGGGTTTCGAAGATTTATAGGAAGAGGAAACGTGTGGGGCAAGTGTGAACACGGTGACTATGTGTGTATTTGGGGGAAGCGTGGTTTTTTACGCGGTTGGATTGGTAACGACTAAGGATGCTTCTTTCTTCAAAAAAAAGAAAAAAAAACAGAAAAATAAATATAAATAAATAAATAAGAGAGATTCTTTATTTTGGAATGTTGCGGGTTTGAAAAACGTTGGAGAAAGAAAAGGTAGAATTGGAATGGGAAGGGGTGTGGAGAAGTTTCGCTTTCGGGATTTGGAATTGGGACCAAGGAAAGCCGAAAAGCGTTCAGGAATGGAAGGAGTTGAGAAAAGAGATACTTTTGTTTATTGCTATTTTTTATTAGGAAATGTTATATTTATTATCAACCTCATTAATAAAATATGACAGAAAGAGGAAAGTGAAAGAAACAGTGGGGGAAATGATTGAAAAGAGATAAAAAAAAAAAAGTTCAAATAATATAATATTAATTTAATTTTATCCGACAATTATAAAAGAGATAATAAGAAGTAATAAACTTGCTCCACAGTAAGAACAACCTCTCCCTTATTCATTAAGTATTAGTACATTAAGATAGGAATTGCTAATAAACGGTCCCATCATATACTATTTCCGCGCTTTTGTTTCAATTTATTATCTTCAATTACTTGCAATTTCCAAAAATGCAATGATCCAGAGGTTCTCATGCTAGTGTGCTTATTTGCTCGAGCTAACAATTTCTGTTTTTTTGGAACGCTCGAGATATTTCTGACCCAAAAGGCAACTTTTAATATACTAAAAAATTACCTTTTCTTGTTTAAAAATTAATTAATTTCTTTTACTTTTTTATGTTTTAGCTCCTTAACAGGTACGTAAACTTGTTACTATTTTTTTTTATTTCTATACATTATTGACCTTGCAATCAAATCAGATAGAGTAGGTTAATGAATTATTAAGACATCATTAATTGTGATAATTAATTAGTAATGAATCTTGATAGTTAACTATTAAATAATATTGGCTTGGTGTATCTAATTTGGATGCACTAAACTTATGAAGTATTTCTTTCTTTCTTTTTCTTTTTGTAAAGAGGAGGGACAAACCCCAAAACAAAACTATGAAGAAAAGAACATAGGTTGTTGATCTAGGGACGCATCCTTTAGAAGGAGCTCCCTAAGCTGAGTAGGAGGGCTATTAAAAATAACTAAGTTCCTATCTCTCTTCTGGATATTGCTAACAAGCCAGTGAGCACACATATTGAACTCTCTATAAGTATAGATGCAACGAACAATCTAAGCCTGAGAAAGCCATTTCTGGATATGTGTAACAACCTGAGAGTTTTTGGGATTGTTCTGACTATCTTGGATAGAAGTGATAGCATTTACAGCATCACATTCCACTTCTATATTTCTAGCACCTGTCCCCAAGCTAACTCCAACCCTTTTACTATACCCTAGAGTTCTATATCTAGAGGATTACAATAGCCCAACTTCAAGGAGAATCCACTAAGAAAAATCCCATTATGATCTCTGATGAGCCCACCACAACTGGCTTTCTTTCTTATAAAAGAAGACGCGTCATCTGTATTTATCTTCAGGAAGCCTTGCAGTGGAGGTTGCCATTTCCCTTATTGATGTTCGATTATTACACTGTCATGACTTCTGACTTTCTTTTCTCTAGCTGCAAAAATATGAGAAATAGAATCTGCAATCACAAACTTACCTCTATGAGGTCTTCTAAAACTGCTATCATGTATACTTTGGTTCCTCCAGTACCAAAGAAACTAACATGTAGGAAAGAAAATATCACGCCAATCAGAATGGATATATCGACCCCAAGTATTATTCACATTCCTACGAAGCCACTCATCAGCATTTAGACTAAAAAAATCAATAGGCATGCGATCATTGAACCAATCCCTCCAAATACATTGAGCAAACTTATAATCCCAAAGAACATGAAGAATAGACTCTTCATGATTAGGACATCCAAGACAACTATTGGAATCCCTGCTCCACTTGCTAGTCATGCTTCTAACTAGAAGCTTATTCAGTAGGATCAACCACATCGTGGTTTTCATATGTTCAAGACCTTTCCAAGACCACACTTTCTTCCAGAGAATATCAACTTCAAAATCATTAAAATCCATAAGATTTTTATACACCATTTTAACCAAAGAAGGATAAGCATGGTTTTGCATCCAAACTAATCTGTCATCTGAGATATTCTTTGATCTGGAGGATTGGCACAGTACCCTAGAGACAATCTCATCATTCAGGAACTGATTCATGTAGCATATATCCCACACTCCTTGAGGGGCTACTTCTACAATGATCTTATCAATATCCAAAGAGGGAACCAGATTATGAGCATAAAACAAGAGGTTAGAATCTAAACCCAACTAATTATCTTGCCAAAATTTAGTGGAATCACCATTCCCCACCTCCCATCTAAGCTCCGCAAGAAAGCTATTCCAGCATTTACTTAAATCTCGCATAGCTTTGAGTCATAAGGTTTTGAAATGATTCTTCTCCTCAAGTCATACCCTTTGCTATACTTTGCTTTCAGGACCTTCACCCATAGATCATCACTCCTCGTCAATAATCTCCAAGCAAGCTTATGCATATAAGCCTCGTTTTGTACACGAAGATTAATAACCCCAAGTCCTCCCATATCTTTTGGTTTATATAAAGTATCCCACGCCACCAAATGAGCTTTGTTGCTACCCCAAATGAACGCACGTTGGAGCTTCTCTACTTCATCACATAAAGTGACAGGTAGTAAACCATTCTGCATGTGAAAAACTAGAAATGCTCCTATCACGAATTTGGCTAGCGTCATTCTACCAGCAAAAGAAAGACATTGGTTTCTCCACCCGTCTAGCTTGGACCTGATCCGATCCATGACATTAGCATAATTGTTTTTTGTGTCACAATCTTACCTAATAAAATAGCCAAGGTATCTACCAATGCTACTCATTTTCTTATAACCAGTGAGACCTGTAATGGACTTAGCTACACCTTTAGAAGTGTTTGGTGAGAAGAAGATTGTTGACTTTGGTTACTAACACTTTGACTTGACCTTAGGCAAAAATGATTCATACACTCCATAATCATCTTGGCTTGCTCAACCGAAGCTTCGAAGAATAAGATAATATCTTCTGCAAAAAAGAGATGAGAGATAGATGGACCACCTCTACAGGCTCTAATCGGCTTCTAGTAACCATTATCAACCCTTTTGTGCAATAAGATGAGACAACTTGTCTACACATAACACAAAATATATGGGGAAATGGGGTCACCTTGACAAATCCCTCTTTCAGGATTAATAGAATCTATTATACCTCAATTAATAAGCAATCGAAAATTGTTTGTAGTAATGGATGCCGTGATAAAATTCGTCATCCAGGATGGGAGTTGGATTTCTAGGAAGACCTTATGAATGAACAACCAACTGATATCGTATGCCTTTTCAAGATCAATTTTTATGGCCATAATACCTTTCTTACCCTTAAGTCTTGACATTGTGTTGACCACCTCTTTGGCTACAATGATGTTATTATGCATGTTCCTATTAGGAATAAAGCTGGACTGATTAACATATATCATAGTTTCCATTACCTCTTTAAGCCTTCCTACTATAACCATGCTAATACCCTTATAAAGCACATTACATAATGAAATAGGCCTGAACTGAGAAACAAATAAAGGTTTATTGATCATAGGAATTAGAGTAATCAAAGTACCATTAATTTCCTTAATGGAATCTGGATTTTCCATTTAAAATCAGAAGGCATTCCACATTTGATCACCTACCAAATCTCAATTTTTCTGGAAGAATGCTGCTGCATAGCCATCTTCACCAAGCGTTTTTGAACCTTTCATGGAGAAAAAAGCTTGTTTAACTTCTTCTTTGTACACCTGAGTCCCCAATCTATTTAAAACTTCATCTTTAACAGGTGGGCACTTAGTACTTACCCAATCACGATGGGTAGTATCTTCTTTAAATAGGTTACGAACAAAATCAATAATCATATTTTCCAAACCTGCCTCATCTTTAATCCAATTGCCATTTGTATCCTTTAGCTCAATAATTTTTCCTTTTTTACTCCTTATGTTGTTTTCTTATGATAGTAACTGGTGTTTCTATCCCCTTGGTTTATCCACTCCGTTCTGGCTTTCTCAAACCAAAGAAGCTCTTCTTGGTCAAGGACTTCTTCAAGCTCTGACTTAACTTCATTTCTACCTCTTCTAAATACTCTTTGTTGTCTTCAAAAATGGCTTTTTGGATACCTTGTAGTCTGTTAAGTAATCTATTATTTCGGCTCTTTATATTCTCAAACACCTTCTCATTCCACTCTTTAATGCAGGGAGTAAGCTTCTTCAATTTTCTTGAAATTCTTCCATACATACTCCAATTATCCTTAAGGAACTGGCTGAAAAGGCAATGATCTTGCCAAAAAGAATGAAAACGAAAGGGACATTCCTTCCAATCTTCCTTGGGGGAGACAATGTTATCAGAAGAGGATTGTGATCACTATTAAATCTTGGAAGTGCTCTAACATGACCATCTTCAAATTTGACTCTCCACTTTGCATTACTACATGCACGGTCTATTCTCTTGTACACTCTCTCCAGATGCAAAAAATGAGGCCTTTTCCAAGTAAACTTGGCACCATAACCCTCCAAGTCAATCATATTTATATTCGTTAGAAGGGATGCAAATTTATTGCATCTATTAATATCCACTGGGGTACCTCCCATTTTCTCTTAAGGAAAGGCAATCTCATTAAAATCCCCAGCAATAAGCTAATGATCATCCATAGTTTTAGATATACAACGAAGATCCTGCCACAAATGTGTCTCATCTCTTCTCTAGGACTTGCATAAATAAGATAATCATTAGGTAAAAGTGATTCATACACTCCATAATGATCTTGGCTTGCTCAACCGAAGCTTCAGAG